ATGTTAGAGCTAATGAATCATCTTTATGTTCTAATAAAACTAAAAATCATTTTTTTATTGCTTGTTGGAATGGAATGAGTATTTTCTAAGTGTAACACCAAGATTTCTACAAAAAAAAATGTTATAGGCTGGAGAGCAGAAACTGTCTAACAACTGAATGTCTTACTTTGTAGCAGATTTCACAGAACAAAAATTCTGCCATTTCTGCCCCCTGAACCTGCAACAGGGCTGGATTTTAAAATGAAAAAAAAAAAAAAAAATGTAAATGAAAATGGATTCCACTGCTTTTATTTGCACAACCAATAGAGATGCATGTACTTTCTCTTGGACAGCAGGTGAGAAATGTAGTGACACGATCTTCAGATCTACTTCCAAAATTCGTCAAACAAAGCAATGTTATGTCTCGTTTCTTTAATGAACAGGCCGAAATGTGTGACAGTATAATTTATAATGTCAGTAAAATGCCAGATATAGGTAGTACTCGAATTGAGGGGGGATTGCATCCCCCTTTTTAAAAAAAATCTTAAAAATCATCCCTCTTAGTTAAATGACCATCCCCCCATACCATCCTCTGTGATATTTCTTTGCTGAACATGTAGAATTTCTACTATATATTAACAATAATTACAATAATAATAAACTTTCAACATTTGGCGGGCTGTGGGCTTATAGGTAGCCTGAGCAAAATAAATAAAATCAAAGAAGTGGCTTACCATGACTATGAAACTGATCCCAGTGGGAAAGTTGTCACTAACTATGTAGGGGCAATGATAGCCATGCAGGTACATGGCTGCAGTTCTACTGAAAAGTGCCTTGGTCAAAGGTCAATAACCGGCGTACCTGACATGGAACAACCATACCATGCATATTTCTTTAGGTTAATAGACTATATTAATTAGACTATGCAAGCTTCCAAAAAAAAAAAAAGAAAAAATTCCACCATCCTCCTTCCTTTTTTCTTTTTTTTTTTTTTTTACAACTAGACTACTGGATATAGGCAAAACGAGTCAGACAAGAGTGAAACAACAAAGGAAGCAAAACTAACTGCAACAAACAAAGGTTTTGAACTATTGAATGATAAAAAAGGAAACAAAACAAAAATGTAACTGAAGCCCAAACAGAAAGTTGTTCTGCAGCACCAGAGGAAAATACAAAAACATTTGGACCCTTTACTGTTTTTTCACTAGCTTATAATTTTTTTGTCAGAATATTTCAGTTTTAAAGGGATTTAAGAAGTTGGCTCGCATATTTTTTTGTTTTTCTTCCTTTTGTTTTTTTAATAAGCCAAAAATATGAAAAATCAGATTAAGGTTAAAAACTTTTCAGCACTAAAGATCCGGTGTGTATTTGTTTATTTTGTACATATAACAACAAAACCAAAAAATAAATACATTTTTAAGAAAAATAGTCAAATCATTCTTCAGTCATGCACAAAGTTCTTGACACAAAACAATTAACTTAATCCTGTATTAAAACGTGTATTTCCTAATAATCAACAGGATAATTTTTGTGATAAACAACAACATGTGCAAACATGTGATAAACTGTTGCAGTGAAATCGAATGCATTAACAGAGACAGATGCATTTATTCTAGTTTATCAACACTAAGGACATGCAGCGCAGGGAGGAGCGCGCCTGCATCAGCCGACTAGTGACGTAGCACCAAAGCTGGCAACCGATTGGTTTGTGACTCATATTTCCTTTTCCTCTTCATGAGATGCGTTCAAACACGGCTTGGATTTTCAAATCACTCATCAAACTGAGAAGTTGGCCCCTTATCGTCTGATAGCGTGAATTAAATCTGGCTAAACAGAGATGATAATAATCATTTAAGGAGAACAATGCCATGCGGATTTATACACAGAGATTATTTTTTACACCACATTTAAAACCGATGGGTTTGGCTTGTCAGGATTTGAAACATGAAAAGAAAGCTGAGCACAGTGTAAACCTTCTGGTATTTAAATATGTTTTTCATAGAATTATCTTTATTGATGACTTAGCTAATAAACATGACCATATGAAATTGTTGAATGAGTATAATTTCTATCAATACATAGAAAGAAAGTTTATTGGACGAAGACTAATTTAAAATGCATTAACAGAGATTTAACAAGGTTTCTTACACTGGCCTGCTTTTTCTCATAGTAGCTTTGCCTCGTCTGTTCCTGTTTGACACCATCCTGGAGAGAAACACCTTTGTTTATAGATGTTCAAGATTGGCCTGTTTTTCCAGTGTTGTCCTGTTTCTCTGGCTGTGACTGTCTGGATGTGCTCTCTTCATCCTCTGACATGGGAGCTGGCTCAGAGCTCGTCTGTCTGGCTGTGTGTTTCCTAGATGGGTTCCCCTTTTACAGCTGCTTTTTGTATCTCTGCTTCTGTCTCCTTGAACCCCAGTCAGCCTCAGCAGATGGCCGCTCATACTGAGCCTGGTTCTGCTGGAGGTTTCTTCCTGTTAAAAGGGAGTTTTTCCTCTCCACTGTCGCTACAAGCATGCTTAGTGTGAGGGATTGCATTTGAGTTAATGAGTCCATGCAATCAACTGGTTTTCCTTAGATAGAAAACTTTGAATCAATTTGACTGTATGGTCTGGTGAACTGTAAAGCGCCTTAAGATGACATGTGATGTGAATTGGTGCTATATAAATAAGCTGAATTGAATTGAATTCATATCAAATATAAATTACTAACATTTAAAGAATTTGTGCAGAATAAAACATAGGTAAATTGGATGAGTTTATGTTTCCATAATTGCTGTGTCAAAAACTGAACTCAATTTGATACACTGATTAATTATATTAATTACACTGATTATCTCCAGGTGAATTGTGGAAAGTTTGGACATATCTAGGTAGGCTATATCATTGTTAGAAGAGTTTGATTGATTGATTGATTTTATCTCTTTTTATTCTTATTTTTTTATCTTTATTATATTGTATAGTTGGATGTGTGTATATATCATATAAAACTGTAACTGGAGCGTGTAACACAAGTAATTTTATTAAAGTATTTCTGATTCTGAGTCTGATTGATGGTGGTTTCTGAGTCCTTTTGTCTCACGGTCCTCTGCAGCCTTTGTTAGCTGTCAACAATGGAATGCCATCACTAAAGTAGGTGTGGACCTAATGGAGAAGAGGCCTATCTAAAGCATGTAGGGGGCACACACCAGAAGCATAAAACTAAAAACATGGCAGTGTTTAATTCTTTGATATATTATGTGAGATGTACCTAAGAGCCAGTTGAGGCTTTGGAGACCCCAGATATAACAGATAGAAAGATTTCCTTTTGGAATGTCTGTGGCTGATACTTAGATGTGAAACCAACCTTAACCACTGATCTTATCTAACTCTGCAAAAGTCTAACAAACCGCCACTTTCAATGCTCTCAACCTTTCATTTGTCAAAGAAGGTGTTATCTTGTCCAGTTAAAAAAAGTTTTCCTATAAAACAGCAATCAGTGCTCCCCTAATACTGTGGTTCGAAAAGGCAACACCTTATTTTTTTAGAATTCTGGAAAGAAAACTGTAAAGCTAAAAAAAAAAAAAAAAAAGATCCAAGAGACAATTTAATGACAGTTTCTGTGTCTGTGCATAAGAATTGTACAGGGTCTATAACAGGGGCCGGGACCACTTCTACTGGCCCCTGTTGGCCCCTGTCTAGAGCTATAGGTGGGCTGATCAATCCTAGTATCAATAATACCACCCCTCCCCCCTCATTGCAGTTTTACACCATCACATTGGTCAGCCGCACCAGCCAAACAGCAATATCCTCTGTTTTTTTGTTTTTTGTTTTTTTTATCGTTGTAAAATTTTGTTTTAAAAAGCTTTAAAACTTCTGTTTGTCTATGTTCTATTGTTTACTTGTAATATTAAAGTAAAAATCACAAAAACACTGAAAGGTCAGCAGTTTTATTAAACACCAGGCTTAAGTATAAGCATCAGTCTCAAAATTGGCGATACTGACCCTCTATTTAACTCAGTTAAGTTCAATTCGGGTGATTTATATAGCGCCAATTCGCAACACCTGTCTTATCTCAAGGCAATTTACAATTCACCAGATCATACAGTCAAATTGATTCAAAGTTTTCTATCGAAGGAAAACCACTTGATTGACACATTGACACACTAAGCATGCCTGTAGCAACAGTGGAGAGGAACAACTCCCTTTTAACAGGAAGAAACCTCCAGCAGAACCAGGCACAGTGTGAGAATAAAGAGAAGCTATGATAGGAGAGATATGATCTCTCTTTTTAATTTTCATCAGAACACTGGCTGTTGCATTTTGGATCAGTAGAAGGCTTTTAACTACAGTTTGTGGACTTCCTGATAGTAAAGAATTACAATAGTCCAACCTTGAAGTAAAAAATGCATGGACTAGTACTTGGTATCAGATCAATACCAAAATCCCTGGTATTGCCCACCTCTAGAACCGCCAAAAGTTAGTAGGAACACATCTAAATAGTACAGAATAAAAGCTCACAATGACTCGAGTTTGATATTAAAAGCATATATTAACGTTTTATTGTGTTATCATTTTTTTTACATTTTTATTTATTATAATTTTTATTCCTTTTTTTTCTCAGTGTCCTTTCTGGCAATGTGACAATAAGAATAATTGTCTTGATGCCAAAAAAAGAAAAAAGAAAAAAAAAGGACACAACAGATTTTACTTTCACAAGTGGAGAAGTACGGCTATCGCCACAGTGTTCTGCTTGATTTATGCATATAAATAGCTTTATTATAAATATGCAGGGAGTTTTTACACATTATATGGACACTGCAATGTAAGTAGAACAGGAAAAAGGAGAAAAGATGAAAGAAAGAGGAGATAAACAGTCAAACGTCTTCTGTCTGCTTCATCACCTGCAAACAGATGTAAAAAGAACAGCACAACCAACTGATTTAGTATATCCGGTGTTTTTTTTTTTATTCCTTTTCGTAAGAGTGACGTAAACATTTGCATGCAAGATTTCCGAGAGGTCTTTGAACGCAGCATTAATCGCAGCGCTATGGGACGAGTTGGATAATGAGTGATCTGCTGACTGGTTGGGATTTTCTGATGAGCTGAAAGGATCCCGCTGAGTTATGATGGTCTATGAGCGGCAGGTATGGAGGCTGAGCGGCTCTTCGCCTTTCTGGGGATGCTTTAGTTTTAATTTCACTCCCTTTAATTCTCAGATAACATGTTAAAGACCCATTTTTCCCTCCTGACGTGGTAGATGTTCCGCAACTCGGGCGCAGAGACAATGACAGCGCTGTGTTTTAACCGTGCGCTGGAATAGAGACTGAAAACCTGAAAACAGCAGCAGGAAAGTTTCCCCTGAAGACAGGAACCCAAAATGTTTGAAGCCTCAGGAATCCCACTCATCTTCCTAGATGTTATTTGCATCATCCTCGGTAGGTGAAACCTTTTCCTGACTTGTTTTTCCAACAGAAAGAGCTGAAATAAAGACAGAAAAAAAAGATTTATTTATTTATTTATTTTTTTATATGCTCAGAATAAATTTAGATGTTTCCAGACAGGAAGATGGAAAAGTCCCACCCTGTTTTAGTTCTCCTCCCAATCCCTCTCAGATCTGGATTTTCAGCTGCCTGTGTTAATATAATCACAGCAAAGGGAACTAGTTGGAAGGATAAAACAAACAGGCCTTTGCAGATAGTGATTTGGTCTTTGTTTAATCAGACTTGGACTGCAGAGCTCCAAGAAGCTTTCCCTGAGGATATTCCTCAATGCTTACTCACTGTCTGGTGGTTGGCATGGCTGCTGACTGTTCACTGTTCCTCATTTTTTTCCATAGGTTGACTCCAGTTGCTTCCCTATTTCATCTGCCCTAAGCTTAGATAACAGGGCATGTTGTTATGCTTTAGGTACTAATTTAGACTCTTGTAAAAATACTGAAGCTGTTGTATTTTCCAGCTGTTACCACCTCAAACTGTAATCTATTTTACTGAGATTTTGAGACCAACACACACACACACACACACACACACACACACACACACACACACACACACGCGTATATAACATATTTGCTATTGCAGTGATTCAAGAATATTTTATTAAAAGGTCAAATTTGCAACTCTAAACCACTTTTATGTTTTTCAACTCAGAGCAACATGGATCTTTGGATTTGAAGGTTGCAGACCCCTGGGCTAATTTTATATTTGAAACTATGGCTGCCCACCTATAGATGACAGCTTTATTTCAGAGAGACGGCTTAGAACCCCGTGGTAACCGTGGATGAGCTGCAGAGATCCACAGCTCAGGTGGAAGAATCGGTTTGCAGTGGCAAGAAGAAAGGGAAAATAAGTCGTGTCAGTGGATTGTCACAAGCTTGTTGGGATCAAACATGATCTTGGTGGCATCATGCTGAGCTGCTACAATGGAAGCGTTAAGCACTGTATATATTTTTTGGCTATTTGAGCTGATGTAACAAGAACATTTCTCCACTGTGAGATCAATGAATTGATAAATTGACTGAGTTGGAGCTATCTTACATTTGGGTCTATAGGTGTTTTTTTTTTTAAACTATTAGTTCAGGGATACTAACAATGCATTTCATAATTAAAATGCATATACTGATATAAGAAAGTCCTGTAAATCATGTTCATTTTTACAATTATTAATGATTTTCTTCTGGTCTATCATATATTTTAGTCTTTTGCTAATGGAAGGGAGTGTGTTTAAAGATGGTAGCAGTTATGCAGTGTTTGTAGTTGCAGCCATCATCTAAGTCATGAGACGCCACACCGCTTTTTCTTTTGCTCAAGGAGTTTAATTTCTTCTCATTTATTTATTTAGTTGGCATCAAATCTAAGGAGAAAAGGAAAAGGTTGCTCTTTCTCAAATCTAACAGACCTGTATGTAGCAGGGCATTCTATTTTTCCTAAGGTTTGTGCTGAATTTGTCACCAACTGTATTGTGTTGGGTAGAGGACAGCATAAATATCTTTGTTTGAACTGTAAAGGCAAGTGACCTATATTGAGTGATCTTTGTTTATCTTATCAAAAAGGGCGTCGCCACAGAGCGGAGACACAATCACTGTTGAGCTGGGAGCTAATACACAGTGAGCCTTTTATTCCAGACAGATCTTTACTCTGAGCACTAATGAAGTGGCTGCACCTCCTTGTTTATAAACAAATCTGCCTCCTGTAGTTTTTTTTAAGGATGCATACAGTGGGGGTGCTGATATGGCGTGGAGGTAGAGTGCATGACCGATATACCAGCTGTTGCAGGTTTAAGTCCCAGCCTTGCTGACCTTTGCTGAATGTCTCTCCCCTCAATTTGAACCTAAAAATAATCTTAAAAAAAAAAATGCATACAGTAGGTCTACTGAAGTTCCTAATAACTTTTACAGTTTTCTTTTATGGAGCCAGGATTTCCTGTATTAAGGTTCTTAAAACTCCTCTTCAGTCCATTTAGCTGTTTTATTTAAACACTTTTATTTTAAGAAGCTGAACTTTGACAATTAAACCATTTGGGCTCTATAGGAGACTAAACTTAGTAGATGAACCAGAGTTATCTCCAAATAACTAGGACCATGGACATAATATTTCCCCTGCACTTTTTCAAACATACATTTTGGCCCCCTGCAGGTTTTACTGTTCAAAAACAATGTTACGCTAAAGTACACAGACATTCCTCAAGCACTAGGACCAAGCGGAAATCCGCAGCGCTAGCTGAAGCCCACTTCCATGAGTTAAGACTGCCCACAAGCTCCTGATTGGCCCATCGTCTTTTTTTTTATGTGATTGACTGTCAAACACGCTGAAGTTGGTTATATTATTTAAAAAATTGCGTTCCCCCACTTCTGAAATCAAAATTTCATCCATGAGGCAGACATCGTTTATGGAAAAAAACATTTTGTGCCACAGAGCTCATAAATGGGCTGATTTTTAAGCTAAAAATACTACAATTCAACCAATTTAAAATGTATTTTAAAAGGTATTTTGACCCCAACAAGTTGATTCCCAAAGAGCTAGAAGGCTTTTTGTTGTGTTTTACAGCAATAATGGGTGACGACTTAAGGTGCAGCATATTGCGTGCATCAGAAGAGGCTGATCATCTTAACGTTTTGAATAGGGCTGCAACTAATGGCTATTTAGATAATCGATTAATCTGTGAAGTATTTAGAATAATCAGATAGCCAAATGTTCCTTAAAAAAGACTTTTTGCTAAATTAAACCAGGTGAAACTAAAAGTTTTTCACTTGAGGAGTACTGAATAGAGCATACTGATGGACAATAAAGGTTTTTTTTGTCTTAAATGCTAAATGTTTACTTATTTATTTTTTTTATCTTGGTATAATTACTGCTCTAAGTGAGTTGCTCTTTCAGATAAAGGCATATTTTACAGTCTCTATACTCCAGTTAACAATGAATCATTTTCTAAATTATTGAAAATTATCAAAATAACTGATTAATCCGATTAATTGTTTCAGCCCTAGTTAGATCTAGTGTTGATTAGGGGCATTTATTGTATCGTTTATTGTTATCGTTGTAAATTTCTAGTCATAACAATTTTGATTTATCCAAAAAATTTTGTTGCTCTGGCCTTCAACACAAATTTGTGTTATTCTAATTATTTTATTTTCTTTATTGACATTGACAAAAAATAAATAAGAATTAGTCACGATAAAAAAAAAGGGTGAATATTTCCATTGTGGCATTGGGAACTTTAAAGAATATGTTGCTACTATGGGATATTTAGTGATATAAATCACGCTTTTTTAATTAAACAATTGTCCTAAAGAAGCCTATTTTAAATTAGTATATTTCATAAAGAGTACTGTTTATAATCGTGGGGCTCCGATTACTTCAAAGAATGAATGAAGAGTGTTTTTATCGTTATCACAAAATATTGCGATAAGATTTCAAGGCCATATCGACCAACCAGCTGATCTTTGTGATGTCAAAAGTTAGAACAATAAAAAAGAAAATCATCCTTATTCTTTTATTCATTAACCAGTAAAAAGAATAATAAGCTAAACGCATTATGTCTAATAGGTTATTTAAAAAAAATTGGCTCATAGATATTTCTTTAAGAGGAATTTTTACAGCAGGAGGAATATTTCTCTAATTGTCAGGTGTGAGAGATTCAGTCTTTTAGTCAATGGTATTCATGTGTCATCATGTTTTGGTTACAAACTTCCTCTGTTCCAAACGGAAGCCTCAGGCGTTGTAGTTTCATGATTGCGAAGCTTTTGGATCAGCAGGTAAACCCACACCTGATAACCAACGTTTTCTTTTCATGTCAAAAGAATTTAATTTCCAATTTGTCAGAGGGATGGAGTACAGGCCATTGGCTGCAGCATCACAGAGGCCCTCAGGGCTGTAACACGATCAGAGGGTGTGAGCAGCAAAAACTAACCCTACTACCTGTATGTGGAGGGTAATGACAATGCTCTGCCTCAGAGGACATCTTGCTTCATTCTTCAGCCCACATATAATATTTCATTCTTTGTGTAGGCGGTTCTCGGCAGATGAAACAAACGAGCACAAGCGTTTGGTGACCTGTACTTCCTGTTTGTCAGCAAAAGACTGGCAAAGAGTGAAACCTTAAATTAGCGACTTTCTGTACTGTTCAGATTACAGGTTATCAAGCTGTCATATTTTAGATGTAGACCTCGTCAACAAGTAGCTATGAAAAACCCTACATCTCTGACTTTTTATAGTGAATAGGGCTAAAGGCACGTCGGGGAATAAACATTTAAATGTGTTAAAATGTGTGTACCTTGTATCTTTTAAGTCTTTTTTTTAGGAGAAACGAGTCCAAGCAGCTGCAGCCGAGGGCACTCTTTTATCATGATCCTTTTATGCTATTAAAATAGAACACCATTTTACTCCTTTATACATGTTTAGTCCCTCAAAATCAAGTCATTCATTAGATGAGCACCACCTTCTGTGCTTCTAAGCAATTAGAAAAGCCGCTCCGCTTTTGTTGGAATTACATGTTCTTGTTTCTTTTTAATTAAAAATAAATCCAAATATCATTCATATGTGGATTATTTCCTGTTTTTCAGTTGCCTGTTTGTTTTTTTTTTCCCAGTTGGTCTGCCGTTTTTCATTCTTACGCCTAAACATGACCCCTTCAAGCGGGGTTTCTTCTGCAACGATGAGTCCATCAGATACCCCTTAAAGGAGGAAACCATACCCTACCAACTGCTTGGAGGAGTCATGATTCCCTTCACTCTCATAGTTGTAAGACAGATTTTAGATTCTAGATTCAAATCTGCCTACTTTTCCTGTTTTCTCTTTCAATATTTGCTTATTTTCTTCCATCCTAGCTCATCTGTGGTGAGTTTATGTCCGTTTACCTATCTCGCATCAAGAATCGCCCCTTGGGAAAGAAGTATTTGTTGTGCATCTACAAAACGCTGGGGAGTTGCGTGTTTGGAGCTACTGCCAGCCAGTCTCTGACTGACATCACCAAATACTCCATCGGCCGACTGCGCCCCCACTTCCTGGCTGTGTGCAAACCAGTGTGGGCTCAGATCAACTGTAAAACAGGAGAATATGTGGAGAACTTCACCTGCACTGGGGATGAGTTTGAGGTGGCCGAAGCCAGGTGAGGTTTCCCTTCAAACCTTATTTAATCTGATTAAATCAGATTCATAAAAATGCTGCGTTGGTTGAAAAACATCTTCAGGTTTTGAAGTTGTACATTTTTAAAATGGGTAGAAACCCTTAAAATCTAAAAAAGAAGAAGTTCTGCAGTGAAATAATTGGCTAGAAGACTTTCAAACATTAGGGGCGACTTCCTCTGCAGAACTAATTTGATTAAGAAATGTGATTTGCCTACTGCCAAATATGGAGCTGAAGCTAAGGGACTCTGGTCCAGGTGGTAAAGGTTAATGAGAGCAGAGGGTGCAGCAGTAATAAAACCGTAGAGGAAGGAGGAGAGATAGTAAAGGTGTTTGGTTCAGGTGGGGTTTGAAAGCAAATACAAACAGATTATCAGTCAGAATCTGAAAGCTTGAAATAAAAGTAATTCTACTCTAATCCAGCTATAATCTCTCTTCATTCTTTTAATATATATTGTTATTCTTCTGGTCATTTATACATTTAAAGCACAGGACATAGGTGCTTAAGTGCATTGAATGAGGGGACCCAATTAGGCTGAAGTACAAATTTCATATTGCTTAACTTCAAATGCAATTGAAGCCTCTCATTCACATATGGCATAAAAATAACAGGGATTTTCTAACACTAATTTCTCCTAACATCAAAATTTAGTGCAACAATTATCAGAAAATCCAAAAAGAACAATTAACAACTATAATTGTGATAGAAATAATAACAAAGTTAGAATCACCATGAACAGTTGGATTAGACCCATTTTTAAAATTTGTTATTAATTTCTGTTTATCGTCCTTATGGCTCATCAATACTTTTTTCTTCTATTTTATTAATGTATCCCTTTATATCTGCAATAGATGCATGCATATACTTTCCTTTTCCTGCCTGTCCCACTTTTTTATGAGAGCCATTAACGAAGTATTCTATAATATCCTGTAAGGTTTGGACTTACTAGACAATTCCTAAAGGAGCTGATCTGGTGGATATAAAACTGCTTTTTAAACTCATCCTCAGCTTTGTTGAAAAATGCTAATCCATCAGGTTATAAGTGGCCTCTTAACATTGAAATTTCTTTTGGATATGATAGGGAAACGTGTTGTGTGCATAGTACAGAACAACCACAGCGTTTAAATGAACAAGATCTGATCATTTTAAAGTATTAAGTTTAATAAACAAAGGAGTTGTTGAGGGAAGGAATTAAGCATGAGCCTGACGGCTTTCTTTTGTAATAGAAAAACAGGTAGAATGATTGTTGTATAATTATCCCCCCATATGTACAAACAACAAAACTAACACAATAAATATTTAATGTATGGAAGGACGATGTATGAATATGCATGGTGAAAATGTTGTTTGAACTTCAAAATGTGTATCTAAACAAGAGTGTAACGTTTGACCTTTTTCTCTCTCATAGATTGTCCTTTTCTTCCGGTCATTCTTCCTTCTCCATGTACTGCATGCTGTTCCTTGTTGTAAGTAAATATTTTAACATACACATCCATATTTTTCTAATGGAAACCATATAAATCTTAGATTGGGCTCAGAATACATTTAATAATCCTTGAGAATGATCATCAGATGAAGACAAGTGTTGCCTCGCTTAAGAGCTTCCACTTAAGCATAGGAGACTATTTAGGCAAATGCAAAATAGACTAGCTGTTCTCTGGCTTATTAAAGAGCCCCTGACTGCATGTGATGCTGACTATCTTCTATTTACTGGCTCTCTGCGGCTTACGATTAGAATTTTAAATATCTTTTTTTGGTTTCTGAATGAATAATGCCCATATATATTAGGATTTGTAATTGTTTTACCAACCTTAGACACTTGGGTGTCCTGGTTTAGGTCTACTCTGCATCCCCAGAATTAGATCCAAATGTGGAGTTTTATTCAGTTGTTATGTTCTAACAATCTGGAACAAATTCTCTGAGAATGGCAGGAATGCTGATTGAATCATATTATGGGTGATATCATGTACAAAGCTGGCCTTACCAGGGAAAACATTGCTGCACTGATACAGAGATAATGTACACATTATCACTTCACTTCAAATCAGAGCTGAACTGGAACTGCAGGGAATGTTTATGTGTCAAGACAGGAAAGTGTCAGGTTTAACCTATTTTATTTTTATCTCGAAAGTATTCAAACACCCTTCAAAGAAAGACTATAAAAATGTCTTTTTGGAACACATGTACTGCAAATATTGAGCTAGTCTTTGTGCGATTGTACGTTCATCTTTCCTCTGATTGCTGCAGCTATACCTTCAAGCCAGAATGAGGTCAAAGTGGACACGGCTTCTACGTCCCTTGCTCCAGTTCTTCCTGACTGCCACTGCAATATACGTGGGTCTGACCCGAGTGTCTGACTACAAACACCACTGGAGTGACGTGGTCGCTGGCCTCCTGCAGGGGGGTTCGGTGGCTGTTTTCACTGTAAGTTTCCTATCATTTGGTTAAAGAATCTTTTGACGACCGATCATCTCTGCACATCTGACTTTAGACGTCCTTGCCATAAGATTTTCCTTACATTTATGTTTTGCAAGAATAGAGTTAATGCACCTTCAAATACATAAGGTTAGGGTGAGTTTATTCTCACGTTGGATCTTGCCAATCAGAGACTAAATAACCATTTTTTCCCCCCACACTGATACATTTAAGTGTTTTGCTATAATATTGTTGTCTGAACAAAGGAGAGAAACTAAAAAACAAAGCATGCTAGTTTCAACATAACATTTGCGGTTCACCTTAAAGCAATACATTCAGCGCATGTAGTACTGGAACACATCACAAATAAATGTCTTTCTGAGGGAGTAAATGACAGGAAGCTGCTACCAGTTCAATCCACATGCATTGAATTATAACTACACTTGTCCATAGATTCTGTAATTTAATGAACTTATGTTGAAAATAATGGTTATATAAAAAAAAGGGGTGAAAATGATATGAAAGATTAAAGCTACAGTGTGTAATAATTACAGGGATATACAGTCAGAAATGTAATATATTATACATAACTATGTTATTTATCATCATCTACGAGCTCAGCCTCTTAACCTTAATATTTGCGTTGCCTTAGAATTCGTTATTTATAATTACATAGGAGCGGGTCTCGCAGCCATGGAGGCAGACATCTTTGCGCTACGGCAGCGCAGAGCCAACAAACTAGCGATTGCGAGATCGCCCATTACGCTCGAAAGTAACTACGGCAAGTTGAGAGAGATGAACTGAGACGGTACTGAACAATAGATGGCAGTATTAAAATTATGTATGTAAACAATCCTCATCACTTGAGAAGGTAGGTGATGCGGACGTCGTGGAAGACATTTTGTCCCGTAACGCTCGCTGTACTGTTGGGGGGGAGAAGCGGTGGGGGGGAGATGTTCATGTTGCTGCAGTCTGCAGTCTGGACGTTAGATGTCGCTGAAAATTACACACTGTAGCTTTAAGACACCACCTGGAATATGTCAATAATCAGAAAAAATTCCACCCAGCACCATTCGGACCGTATTTCAAGAATGAGAACAAAATCATTGCCTAATAAACTTGGTCCAACCAGGTCTACCCTGCAGGACAAGGACAAGAAGGCAAACAACTATTTTCTCTGTTCAGGATCAATTTTCCTCAACAAATGCTTTTTGTAAGATGTATTAAGTTCCAGTCATGAAACATTGTTTAGTCTATGGACATCTAGAGTTTGACTTACTTGTATATGAGGACTCAGTGGGCCATTATAGATATCTTTTGAGATTTTTATGGCATTGGTATTTTATTAACTCTTGATGTTTTCTATATTTGTTTAACTGCTTAATTCATCCAGAACGAAAGCAAACAAAACTTCCCTCATCAATGCTCAGTAGTGGTTTTATTTTATACAGATCTAAAAAGCTTATCAATCTGTTCAGTAGTCCAAGCACATTTTCTCAAGTGACTGTTTGAGATGCATTTTTTCAGTCTACAGTTTTAACTTGAAAATGACAGTTCACTGGTGTCTTTCCAGATTAAAGAAAACATAAAAAACAAACAAAAAAACATGGGATCTTACTGTTGTAGTTTCAGCAATGTCATCTGGAGGTTTAGGTCTTTGACAGATTTGTGCAGATCCCTTTCCTCCTTTTCTGAGTTATATTTTAGTGCTTAATTTTGCCACAGGACTTCTTGTACCGCCTTTGGGAACACTGACTGCATACACAGCTGGATAGCTGTTTTGGTTAAAATACCCACATCAGGCTTTAACCCCTTAAAGCCTTAATCATTAAATCAATGTCAGAAAACTATTTTTTTAAACTTGATTTGTCAACATATCGACAAATGAAAACAAAATGAATTTTTGATTCATTTGTGATATATTAGGCATTTCTATGCTGTTTATTGTAGGTTTTCTCATCACTACACACGTTTGACTGTATGTCAGGTTTTTCAAGATCAAAAATATCGCACTGATGTTATGGTGATACAACATTATGCACTTGATGTAAAGGTTTAAAGTAGGCTGTTTGTTACTCTGAGGTAAAACATAAATGATGACCCAAACATTTCAATCACACAATTCCAACCATGTGCAAACAATAGGGAATTAAAAAGTTGATTTACTTACAACAAATTCATCATGTGAAAGAATAATTTAGAAGCGTGAAAGGATTGTGAACAGGTATCCGAGGATAGATCCTTGTGGAATACCTTTAGATGGGTTAATACAAGCGTTCCTTATGTGGAGTCCTGCTTTGGACTTGGCTCAATTAAATTGGTAGCATTAGAGTCTAATAATCTGCTCTGTTACGTCTACCAGATCAGTGTTTCACAGATTATTTTTTAAAGTTTTATTAAGTTCTTATTCTCTCAATATTCAACTTAGTTAAATAGCAATAAGAACCAGTTAAAGGAAATGGGCTATACAATGAATAATTCTGAAAAATAACATGCATATATACATTTATGAGGATCTTAATCCATTAATTATTAAAATGAATCAATGGATCCATATTTACATGAGTAAAAAAATATTTGGCTGAGCGTATATAAAACAAAGAAGAGATCTTTTAACCAATACAGTTTTTTTTCCTTTTTTATACTGTAATCTATTCTCTCCCAAACCACATTTCTGTTTTTTAAATCGGCTGAATTAGAATGGTAAGAAACTCATTTATTTTAACAAAATTTTTTAAATCTTTTGATAGTTTGGTTCTGCTGACACTAAGGAAACAAGGTGCATTTAAACTGATAACACTAATGAAGGTTATGGTTTTGGTTCTTTCTGTTTATGTCTTTCATTTTTAAAGATTAATTCAATGAGATTATGGTCTACCTAGATATTTTTTATGCATTCAAATTGCATTCTGAGCTACAGTGCTTAATGTTTGATATATGCCTCATTCTGTCTCCTGCAGGTGTTCTGCGTCTCCAACTTCTTCTCTCAGCCAGTGGAACCAGTAGTTTCGCAAGAGGAAGAGGCCTCTCACACCAGTTTACAGGATAACCCCAGCAATGGTAACCACTACGGCAGCACTGAATGACTTTGGTGCCTCAAAGACGTTTCTCTGCTCAGCCTCTAGTGCAAAAGGAACTCAAAGTGGACCTAAACCCATGAATAAACAGCACGTCTTCTAAATTGCCTGCTGCGCGTTGGGAAGAATGTCCTCTGCCAGCTTTGATTACATGGTGCCATTCTTTGCAGCACGAAGGCTTTAGCTGCTACCTGGTGTAGCTTCAACTACAGAGACAAATGATCTGCGATGTTTACTTGTAGCAAATACTTGTCTGATTTGACTCCTTGAATGAATATTCCTTTTTTTTTTAAAAGATAATGAGCCTCTGTATCCATGCTGCAAGCTGGCTTGTAGAGGTTTGGTTGTACCTTTGCTTAAGGAAACTGGGAATGTCTTATAAACAAGGTCTGAGATTTTAAAAATAATATATTTTATATTGATTTTTGCCTTAGATCTATGCTGCTGCCTGATGTCAGCTTCTTCCCAGATGTAATTGTATATGTGAAATACAATCATATTTTGTTTTTTTTGCCAGGCAGTGAGTCTGAAAGTGCTGATATGTTGTTGTTTTTTCCCCTGAATTTTTAAAATATATTGTTAAGACAAACAAGAACATTATGTATTTTTGTCTGGAAAATACAAATTGACCGGATTTCTGAAAATGTACCACAGTAAACGCTTCATGAGGCAGATTTACAATTCAAGTAGGTAAGGAAGTAACAAGCAAGCAATCTTTTAAGCGCCTTTACCAAGTTATAATTAGAGGATTTTGCAAAAAAAAAAAGGGGGTTATATTTTCTTATATTGCTTATTTTCTCTGATTACTGTTACAGTAGTGCCTATTTGTGAAGCAGAGGTAAAATGACCATCATTTAAAACCTTTTATAAAGAAAGACCTGATGTGGGATGTATTAATAGTGAACTCTACATAATCAAGTACAGTTACTTTTCAAAGGCACCTGGTTAGTTAATAATTTTCATTGTTGGATTAAACCGAACACGCCCACCCTGTGAGGATGCATGGTAAGGGCAGCATCATCCTGTGGTAAAGCTTTTTTTAAGCAGGGACAAACAAGTCAGTAGGTCTTTGGAGGCTGGAAAACACTTGAGACCAGGGTTATGATTTAGATCCCAGCGTAGAAGCAATAGAATTATACCCATATAATAAAATGGCGAAGTCAAAGTCTAGACTCAGATCTGATTAGGGATTTGAGGTTAAGCCTCAGAATAGCTCACATTCAGTTTCACACTTGTCTGGATGGATTATCTATGAGGTTGATTCCTGTTTGTGAAAAGAAAGGGAAACTAAAGCTTTTGGGTCCCATTAAAATGTTTAATTTCTGTTCATCTGTTGAATTAATAAACCAATAAAATATATGAAACATATTTATGGTTCAACAATGGTTAACATGTCAAACTGGAAGAAAAAAAAGTTCAAGGAATGTTATATAAAGAGCTACTACAGAACTAGAACTGTACACAGAATTTAACTGCTGCTTTGTCATTGCATAATGAGAAACTAATAGTTTCAACTGAGCTTGTGCAAATACAAAAAATGAGTGATATCATTTTGTGTTTATGACTTCTTTTAAATTTGTAATTGCAAACAAAAAGCTTTTAAGTAGAATTACAATGCTAAACCCTTGTGGTTATTCATAAAACTGGTCTTGATCAATGTTTCTTCAAGTTACCTTTAGTGTAACATTTTCCTGCACTAATTTTCACTCCTTCATAATATTTGCATGTTTAGTCTTAAGACTTTAAACATATAAACAAGTTAACATTTATTTTTATTTTGGTCATATGGGGGACATTCCACAGGTTGGAACAAAAAACACCATGTAAAGAAAATATAACTAATCTGTCATTTGGGCCTTATTGGGTTTTGGAGAGTTGCAGCTTCCTGCTGAGAGTATGAAGACTATTTTTCTCTTGGTGCAACTGAATTTTATTTTATCCCACCCCAGAATTTAATATATTTAATTCATTTTGACTGGATTAAGAAGACAGCAGGGGAAGCAGCTTTACTGGGGTATCATTCATGTGAAAACTACTGGTTGCCTTGCTAGAAAATACATTAGAAATACTGCAGAGTTTAGACAGGATCCAAGAAATGTTGACATGCCTTCAGTTAGTAACCTTTTGGACTCAACTTTTTGCTAATAGTCTGTTAAATCGTTACTTTATCTATTTTCTCAGGTTGGATTTTTACATGGATGTGTTGTGCAACTTATGGCTCTTTAAAGAATGAACTAATGAGCTATAAATATAAAAATATAATATAATAATTAGATTATTCCACCAGAATAATCTAATTATTCTAGTGGAAATTTTGATTGAAAATAGCCCAGAATCCCGCAGCCGCCTCTTCACTGTAGATGTTGACACTGGTGTTTTGCGGGTACTATTTATTGAAGATGCCAGTTGGGGACCTGTGAGGCGTCTGTTTCTCAAACTAGAGACTCTAATGTACTCATCTTTTTGCTCACTTGTGCAACGCAGCCTCCCACTTCTTTTTCTACTCTGGTTAGAGCCTGTTTGTGCTGTCCTCTGAAGGGAGTAGTACACACCATTGTAGGAATCTTCAATTTCTTAGCAATTTCTCGCATGGAATGGCCTTCATTTCTAAGAACAAGAATAGACTGTCGAGTTTCAGATGAAAGTTCTCTTTTTCTGGCCATTTTCAGCGTTTAATTGACCCAACAAATGTGAGGCTCCAGAAACTCAATCTGCTCAAAGGAAGCTCAGTTTTGTAGCTTCTGTAATGAGCTAAACTGTTTTCAGATGTGTGAACATGATTGCACAAGTGTTTTCTAATCATCAATTAGCCTTCTGAGCCCATGAGCAAACACTTCGTACCTTTAGAACACTNGCAAGATCACAAAGTTTGAGAAGGCTTTCCTGCAGCACATTCTTAGCCAGCAACAGGACCTGCTGGCTGCAATCAAGTAAATTATAATTTTTTTTTAATCTTTAAAGTCTATTTAAAATATTTGATCTAACATTATTTTGTCCTTTCAGGGCTGATGGCAAGATCTCAGAGGCATCAGATGCTAAACTGAAGCAGATTGTATTGAACTTCCTGTCCAGTTTTGAGTAATGGGTTGCACTTCTTCTGATCCTCAGTGAGCTACTTGTCTGTGTCCTTCATAATGCTTATACATGTGAACACACTGAAGGCCAAAACCTCCATGTACAGATTTCTCAAAATAAAATTTTCCAAACCCCCCTGCTGTGCTGTGTAACTTTGGTTATGTGTTTGACTGCAGCAGATTTGAGTTAAGGCAGACCAGCCAACAAGTCATCAGATGTGATTCTGAATATTTGTTTCTGGTGCTCCACATTCATTAAACATATTGACTGTAAGAAGTTGTTAGATCATATTTAAATAGACCAGATGAGAGGGCTTGCATTAGTTTTTGCTGAACCTGTCCTTCACTGGTTTTCTAAGGATTGAGCTGTAAACCCATGTTCTGTGGGTGGAATGAAAGGGTAAAAATGTTTGGTATACTAGTAATAAATGCTGTGACAAAATATTGTCCTGTCTTGTTTTCAGACTACATTGAATATTTATTGGCTTTCTTTTATTGTTTTAAAAGCCTTTTTCAGAACTTGGTCAAACTGAAAGCTCTACTTTGTCATATCTTTGCATATGGATTTGAAAAGCTATCAATACTTGCAACTTTTTAACTTTGCAACTAATCTATTTTTTTTCTGGCAATTTGCATAAACTGTAGCTGTTATATTCCTTGGGGGGTGTGTGTGTGTGTGTATATATATATATATATATATATATATATATAAATATTGTTTTCTGTTGAAAGGAACCCTTAGAGATTATCAGCAATTATCCCTTCAAAATGTGCCTTACCTCTGAAAATCTACCAGTATCTGCTGAGCTGTCGTTGTTTGTTATTGTCTTTTCTTTCAGCAGCACAGAGCTTTCTCTGCCAGGCTAAAACCAACAATAGTCCTCAGTAAGAGCAGCTCCACTATGTCACATGTCTGACTTTAGCTCACGAGGGAGGCGACCATGTTGTTGGAGGACTTGAACTTCACAACACATTTTTTGTTCTTATTTACTTTCCAAGTTTCAGATTAACACAGAGAGAACAGTGTGTTCTTTTCTAAAAGGCTGCGTAGACAGTTTAAGAGGAGACAGAAAGGAAGTGAGAATATATATAGTTGTTTTTTAAAGTTTACAAACTAGTCTGTTAAAGACACAAAATCTGGCTGCCAGTAAAATAAATTGAAAGCGGCAAAAGTAATAACATATAAAAATGATTAAAAAAATGAAATCATGGCATTGATTTTGAATATATACGCAGTGTCTTTGCTGTTACTAGAAATGCACATTTCTGGACCGAGATGTATTTCCAGGGATCTGCTTTTTGGGGGGGTCACTGCCCCGAGGGCCCCAATGACCATGGGCCCCACTGATGCCTTGAACTTCTGGGTTTCCTCCAGCTCTTCTCTGAGCCCCTGGTAACTCATGTTTCTTTTTCCAGATGCTGGAGTCGCATGGTGTTACTATGACTCCCACTATGGTTTTTCTCCACTCTTTTTCACCACCACAATGTCCGGTTGGTTTGCCATTACCAACCATTATATATATATATATATATATATATATATCAGGTGATTCCTGTAATGTTCAAAATACTTAAAACCTGTTGACAAGTTTATTGGGAGTCAGGTACTTTAATTTCTTTAGGACAGTTTTTATTTTTTTGAATACTTCTTTAAACACTTTAAATACTACTTCAAAATCAATATTTTGTTTTACTAAATGATTATCAAATGTTTGTTACTTTTTCAGTTTCGTATTATTTGACTTACCGGTGTGAATGGATCCTTACCTTTAATTGGAGGGCATGTAAACTTTCAAGCACAACCATAGGTTGGTTTGATGAGAATAGGCAAAGCTTTAGATAAGTGATGTTTGCTGCCCTCTGAATGATTCTGCACAGCCCGTGAAAATTCAGGTTCACATTATTTTACGAAATTCTTTTTGGGTTAAGTTTTCAAATAAAACCATTTAAAAATGAAAAAGTGCCAAAAACAAAATAAAGTGAACCAAAAAAATATATATATATTTTTTTCTTTCACAAGGCATTCATCTTAATCCAAGTAGAACAGCAGACATCTAGATACTTTTGTTCTAAAGCAGATTTGGCTGCCTTTGCTCTCCTCTTCTATATATATACTATATACTAACTATATATATATATATATATATATATAGTTACTCCATGTCCAATATTTATAACTGAGCAAAGAATGAAAATCTACTTATAAACTTAAGTAATTAACCCAAAGAAATGTAAACCTGTATCTCTGACATAACACAATAATCAGACACATTTGTATTCACAAAGGTTTAACAATAACTTTTCTATAAAAATATTTAGTTTGGTTTATTATTCAGTAGTTAAAAGAATGGAAATATTTTATTTTCTAAGTGCTTTCAACAGTATGATTCCAGCCTAGCTGACAAAATGTATTGGAAACATGTGTTATAACTGCTTTTACCAACAATGCAATAAACTATTTATTTAGCTTTAAATGTGCTTGGACAAATATTTCTATACCAGTGAAAATGTTTAAAGTATTTTATAAATTCCAGAAAAGTGACATTTTAGATTGAATGATGTATATTTGTATCCTTTAACTTGATAAAAAAAAAAAAAAAAGTCTCTTTATCCTATTATAAAGTATTTTTTGTGACAATAGGACAAGTTTATAGGCTCAGGAAGTCTGTTGATCTCTGACGCCCCCTATTGGACATAAAATCCCCCCCAAAAACTCCAACGTTTTTCATACGATTAAAATTCTACAGAAAAAAAAATGCTACAAGAAAATAGAAAAATAAAAAATAAAACATGAAGTCAACTTTATCTTAAGCATTTAATGTGTCGTATCTTTAAATGGACAAAAACATAAGTCCACCTCAGAGGACCGAATATAAAGCAGCAGCTGCACATTTGTTGGCTTTGCAGACCCAGTCTGAATGGATACATTCATTAGAAATTCTGTCCCAATTACCCAAGAGTCTCAGTAAAGCTTAAAGCAAATGAGGACAGTTTGTCTCCTAGCAGTTTTTGTCTACTTGTCTGGTGGCCATCTGTTTCTGGAAACCATGTCTGAAGCATTTAAAACTGAACTTTAGGAATTTGATATGATTGTTTTAGTCAGCAATACCCTTTTCAAATCCTCCCATTCTTCTTAAATACAAGACATTCTCAGTTCTGGCAGTATCTAACTTGTCCACCCATCCAAGTTCGTCTTCAGATAGTGCTGAAACCCTTGTGTCCCAGAGTACGCCCTGTTCAGGAACAGACAAAACCATACAATCATACCTCAATGATACTAAGAGACCACTTAAACTCATTTTTATGACTGAGAAAGCTGAACCAATTCCTGGGATGGAACTCAAGCTCAGGAGCTTTGTGCTCCAAAGCAACACCACTACTAAATGTGCTGCCCTCTAGGACTATATATATATATATATATATATATACACACACACACACACCCCCCAAGGAATATAACAGCTACAGTTTATGCAAATTGCCAGAAAAAAAATAGATTAGTTGCAAAGTTAAAAAGTTGCAAGTATTGATAGCTTTTCAAATCCATATGCAAAGATATGACAAAGTAGAGCTTTCAGTTTGACCAAGTTCTGAAAAAGGCTTTTAAAACAATAAAAGAAAGCCAATAAATATTCAATGTAGTCTGAAAACAAGACAGGACAATATTTTGTCACAGCATTTATTACTAGTATACCAAACATTTTTACCCTTTCATTCCACCCACAGAACATGGGTTTACAGCTCAATCCTTAGAAAACCAGTGAAGGACAGGTTCAGCAAAAACTAATGCAAGCCCTCTCATCTGGTCTATTTAAATATGATCTAACAACTTCTTACAGTCAATATGTTTAATGAATGTGGAGCACCAGAAACAAATATTCAGAATCACATCTGATGACTTGTTGGCTGGTCTGCCTTAACTCAAATATGCTGCAGTCAAGCACATAACCAAAGTTACACAGCACAGCAGGGGGGTTTGGAAAATTTTATTTGGAGAAATCTGTACATGGAGGTTTTGGCCTTCAGTGTGTTCACATGTATAAGCATTATGAAGGACACAGACAAGTAGCTCACTGAGGATCAGAAGAAGTGCATCCCATTACTCAAAACTGGACAGGAAGTTCAATACAATCTGCTTCAGTTTAGCATCTGATGCCTCTGAGATCTTGCCATCAGCCCTGAAAGGACAAAATAATGTTAGATCAAATATTTTAAATAGACTTTAAAGATTAAAAAAAAATTATAATTTACTTGATTGCAGCCAGCAGGTCCTGTTGCTGGCTAAGAATGTGCTGCAGGAAAGCCTTCTCAAACTTTGTGATCTTGCTGGGCTCCATCTTGTCCAGGTGTCCTCTGACTCCAGCATAGATGACTGCTACCTGCTCCTCAATGGCCATGGGACCTACAGGAGAAGGGCCACACACTTCAGTACACAAGAACTTCATCTCTAAAGGACTGGGTTTGTGTTAAAAATTAGCACCTAATCTCACCAGTAGTAGATTAACTGTTGGAATAAATCCAGATTAGACCTTGCAGCTGATCCTAATGGTTGGCCAAAGAGGACTCTAATATTAACCCTTAGTGGGTCCGCTAAGAAGCAAAAAGCAACTTTCCTTTCCTCAGCTGAACAGTTTCTCTAAAATACAACATTCAGAGCTTAATACATTTCAAATCAGTAATATAGCACACATCGTAATTTGACATTTTAATAATAAATTAACTTAATTTATCTCACAATGGAGAAATTAACTCTGCATTTAACCCATCCCCTTGGGGAGCCGTGTTTTTTGCTGATAATGGTTTCCAGAGAAAATTGAGGTAGAAGGAGCCATTTCATCAACAATCCTATGGATTATCTAAAGTGTTTCCTCTTTAGCGTGTCTAATATAATAGTAAAGCTCTGTAAGAAGCATTGAAGTTTTAAACACATAGCATTTAGATATTACAACACCCTCTTTTTATAAATAACTATCCACTGTATATATTAAGGTTTAACAGGTACACAGCATTAACAAAACCACGGTGACAACTTGGACCATTTTTTGCTGCAGCCTCAGAGTCCAACTAATTTAGGTTTATACTAGATGAAGGCAGCAGGATCGATTTACTGAAGGGATCATCTTAACATTGCATCATCTTTTCAAAGACACAGACTGTAAACAGCATTGCACTTACAGTACTGTCCCTGCTTCAGCAGC